ATTCCAGTCGGTCGAGATGGCTCCCAGCCGGCCGAGCCGGAACTGGGACCGATTTATAAGGCCTGGCCCGAAGCATCTTCATGGGGAACGTGTGCAACGAATGCGAATTCCTGAAACGGCGCGGCTTGTGCTCGCGTCTCGAGAAAACGCACGAAAAGAGAAACCATGAGTCGCTTTCGGTCTTCCCGACATTGTTAAGCATCCGCGAAAAGTCGCCATTCCGTTCTCATCGACACCGCAATCGAGATCCGGCTCGAGATAGATGGGAGACAATCCGCCAATTTCCCTCATGATTTACGAGAATGCACCCGCACATTAGCGGCGATGGATAATAGGAGGCACGGGTTGAATGCAAACAAAAGGACGGAAGAAGTGCAATTTCCGAGAGAGAAATAATGACAGGTCAGGAGAACCAGTTTCGAAACCCTTTTGTTCCGTCGCGATCGTCTTCGTCTCTTGCAGATTCGAAGCGAAAATTTTGGCGGGCAAAAAACGGAGGGCTTTTTGTGGCGGCCGACAAGGGATGAGACGCTTTTTTCTTTTGGTTCGTGGAATTTCGTGAGTGCGAAATACCTGCACGGTGTTTGCGGGGTAATCAACACGTCACGAAATGTTGCGAAAGAAACTCTTCTTATTCACAGGTTTGAGGGATGGGTGCAAACACAACAGCGAAATGGGTGGAGACAAGCATTAGGAAACTTCAGCAAAAAAAAAAAAAAAAAAAAAAAAAAAAAAAAAAAAAAAAACGATCACTATCTCGAGGGGACCAGAGTCACCTGATAGTGTGGCAGGTGAATCTGCCAGACCAGGCCATCGATGCTCTCTCTCTCTCCTTCAATTAGCTTCTCTTTTGCTCTCTCTCTATCTCTTTCCATTCCATCTTAAGCGCTTCATCTCAAGTCGCTGCCAAATCCAGGCCGTCGGACGCGTCGAGAATCCCTATTTGGCGCGCCGCACTGATGGAACCTCCACGGCGGCACGCCTCCCCGCGTCGAGACGTGACGAGGGAGTGACACGTCTGCACGTTTTCCCGCCGCATTCCTCAAATTTTTACTTCAGCATTCTTACGATTGGCCCGTGTTCAAATCTATAAATAAGACTGAAAACCTGCTAGCTCCGCTTCCCAGACTTCCCAGATTTATTTGCAAACGTACCAACATCACCATGATTATTGAAAAAATCAGTCCGAAATTCGACGGGAACACCAACAGACGACTTTGACGGAATCTCGAATTTTGATCGAATTCAAAAGGGGGATGAGAATGAGATTGAGAAGTCTCGATCCAAATTTTTTTTTTTAAACACTTTTTGCACTTCATTTTTCCTGAGTTGCTCGAATAATTAAAATACATTTTTTTAATAGCAAAAATAAGCTTAACAGTTGAATATAAAAATTATTATATATAAAAATTATATAAAAATTTTTTTTTAAAGGGAATGCATAACCACAGGAGCCCTAATTAAGTCCTAATTACGAGAAGCAATTCAAAAGCAATCTCGCTGATTTTCTTTCTCAAAAAGTATCTCTAAGTGTACCCGCATTAATAAAATTTAAAATTACGTGGCATGAGCTTCAAACCTCCTCAAGTTCACCGGTACTGTTTGAACGTGGTCTCCACCACTATCGACACACTTACGCCACCGGTGAAACCCGATTAACCACTATGTAACCGGTAATGGAAAAAAAAAAAACCTGCCACCGACGAACATTTCCTTCGTCGCATTGATGATGTGCCTTCGACGATAGGCTTCATCAGTCCAAAAGGATAAAAATCACACGGAATCAAGTCATGATTCAAGTCATGAATGAGGTCATGACTCAAGTCATGAATCAAGTCATGACTGGGTGGGTGTGGCAAATGTGGTCTTGCGTTGTCCCGTTGCAACAGGGCATCTTTTTTTTCTGATATTTTCCGGAGCGGAAAGGTTTCAAGTTCATACCATATGGTTTTCCAACTTTTTAAATACCTGTAGTATGCTAAATGCAGAATTGCTTAGGGGCATTATTTTTTAATAGTACCTGATGTAATTAATGTGCCTCGGTTACTAGAGTGATGAAAGCAGTTGGGATACAAAAATTAAAGCGTTCATTCTGTTCCAGCAAACTTCGCGAAATCGATAGACGAAATGAGAAATTCTTTGAAAGGAAATGAAAAAGGATATTATATTTAAATGTTGGGGTATTGAGTCGGAATTTAAGCAGCACAGTACTCCATTACGGACGCAAAGGTCGCAGACCTTAAGGGCACCCGTTAAAGATCTCTCGCATTTGATAAGCCGTTCCATAAAATGATTTCGTCGAAGGCAGATCCGGTTGATGTTATCGGCATCGGGGTGACGCCCACCGTCACGAGCCGAACACAGCAAATATGGGGACAATCAAGATCGCAAAGACAGATAATAGAAATTAGTGCCTCATTACCTGCCTCATTGACTCCGGCCCCCCCCCCCTCTCCCCCCCCCTCCCCCCTACTTGACCGCACCTTCGTCACCCAGAAGTCAGTCGATGAGGACTCTCTACACAACAATGTTGACTCTCAGTATTCTCCAAGTGCAACATCTCCTTTCCGTCGTCTCTCAGGCTTGCCAGATTCCGTTCCTGGTTCCAATTTTGGACTCACACTTGTCTCGGTGTCCCAATGTCATGATCGTCTCGAATCAATCAAACGTTTGCACTCTGGAAACGGCGTTCAAAGCCGAAAAGCTCGTGTCCATGGCGTGGGTGAATAACGAGATGATGGATGAAAGAATCCGTCTCTTACGACATTGGCCGTGTGCCGTGTTTCTGGCCGACCTGAGAACGTCTACGGCCACGACCTTGAAGTCGCACTTGGATCGAATCGTAGCCATGAGGGCGTTCGTCAGCAAAAGCATTCTCTTCATTTTGGCTCATGAAAGCATGAGTTCGGAACTGGAACAACGATTTCGTGCGATATCAGGAGTCGCCCTTTACTATCCTGAATCCTTCGTTCTGGTTCGTCGACTCCCTCCTTCTGCAACCTGGGTACACACTAAACCATCGGAGACACCATTCCTCTGGAACGAGAGCCTGAGTCTCAGTAACTACACTTTCCTCGTCACATATTGCCCGGATTACCCACCGAACATAATCGAGAAACCCGATGGAAGCACCACTGGCTACGACCCCATGTTCCTGAACAGCCTCTTGGATTACAACCGGGGGATGAAGGTGAACATGACCAATGGAACCAGAATGTCATGGCAGTTCGGGGAAATCCCTCGAGGGATGATAGGAGAAGTGTACGAAGGGAATGCAGACGCGGCCATGTGCAACCTTTACATGACGCCCGAGCGGTCCCTATACCTGGACCAGATCCCCATACGAGCGGAGGATACTGTGGTCATCGTGCCCAACCCAGTGGGGAAAAGTGGAATATCCGTCCTCTTGTCCCCATTCACCCTTCATGTGTGGCTGGGGGCGGTGGCGGCCTTTGGGGCGACCGTTCTGGTCCTTGCACTCCTCTATTACTTCACTTCGTCACAGGTAACGAGAAGTCACGATAATCTACATACATTTTTAAATATAAAAACTAAATGTAATTACATACATTTTCTAGCAGCCAGCGCGGCATCGAAGTTGCCATCACCTTCCCCGGACCCGCGAAAACAGGTTACTTTATGACAGGAAGCTTGGGAAGGTGGGGAATGCCGTCAGGGATGTCCGATAGCAATTCCCTTTTCTCTGTGTTGCCGCTTGTGGCATTTGTCCTTGTCTGTGTATGTTCGCCCAAGTTCACGTTTTGAAATAAATATAATATTAAAAAAACGTAGTTACATACATATATAGCGTAATTACAATTTTTGGAGTCATAAATTCCTTACAATTATCGAGGGAACCATATTGACTACATGTACGTTTATAGAGAATTCTACAGGACTGACAAGCTATTCTATCTAATTTTTGGAGGTTGTAACGAAATTTCTCTTGGGTTTATACAGAAAAGGGGTTTCTACAAAAGCCTTGCAGAGGCGCTCTGGGATAATCTCTCGATGGTGGTTGGCCAGCCCATCTTGTACCACATGGGAAAGAGGCGATCGGTTCGTCCCTATCTGGGATTCTGTCTCTTCACCACCCTCGTCCTTCTAACCGTCTATCATGGTCGACTCCGGACACTGATGACCAGGCCCGATTTCACGGGACCCGTGAAGAATCTCGAGGAGTTCCGCTCCAGTCCCCTGCGCCTCTCTGCAGTGTCCTACGAAGGATTCTGGCTCCGTCTCATGGAGATTCCCAACGCCAGCTTCAGCCTCCTGCGAGACAGGATGACCAACGTGTCCACCGTGACAGAGGGTCTCCAGGGAATCCTGTCAGGGGACTACGGATTCCTCGAGACGGAGCCCACCATGGATTACTACATCGCTCAGGATCCAAGGCGATTCCGGCCCAACGGCCAGCCCGTCTACCACAAGCTGGACAAGATCTGCTTCAACTTCGCCACCCTCGTCGTGAACAAGCACGCCTTCTACGGACACCTCTTGTCGGACTTCGCAAAACGTGTCCGCTGGTCTGGGATCGAGATGGTCTGGATGAAAAAGATCTTCGAGGAAGCCCGAGCCGAGTCGGGGACAGATTCAAGGGAATCCATCGCCGATGGCTTCCACGGCAGCACGGGGCCGGAACCCCTAGCCTTTCGTCATATGGCCCCCATTCTGGGTCTTTACTTCATCGGAATCGTTAGCTCCACCCTCGTTTTCCTTTTGGAATTGCTTCTTCACTATAAAAGGAAGAGACGCATCTGAGAGGAACTCACTGTCGAAGACCTTGGCCCGAGGATAAAGAAAGATTCGAAGAGCATCGAATGCCACGGACCCCTGTGAACCTGCGTTCCCCCTTCCCCTTGTCACGTACAGGTTGAAGGGAATATCTTTCTCGTAGAGCACCTCCGACACTCGTTGCACGTTGCTAGATCGAACACCATCGTCACTGCATAGACAATGAAGTGCTCTCCACCCTTTTCGAGAGGTATAAACGGATTCTCTCACTCGACGGTTGGGGAAAGGTCGTCGTTCCCTTCAACGTAAAACAGGAATGATTTGACCGGGTAATCCTTTAGTGTCCACACTGGACCCTTCAAGTTCACCGATTCCTTTTAATAGGAAAAAATTTTTTTTCTCAACATTAGGCCAAATGGACTAAAAAAGAAGACTATCAAATCTGCAAATCGAATGAAAAACCCTATGGAGCATTAGCGAAGCAAAGAAGGATGGACTCACAGCGCCTTCGATGTAGAGCCTATGTCTGAGGTAATAGGCATGGAAATGCAGATGGTTCACCGTCGCCCCCGCCAAAGGACAGTTGAACCCGATTCGAAGGTCCCTACGAAATGAAGAAGAAAGATCGCCCTAAGGAAAGAATTTCTTTACCCAAGAGGGCCACAGCGGCGACGAGACTGACGGCGAAGAGGAATTGAGGACGAAGAGCAGAGCGAGGCGGAGGGCGTCCGGGGCCAGGACCTGGGGCCTGCCGTCGTGGGCGAAGGGCACCAACAGACTGCTGGTCACCTATGCAAATCGATTTAAGACATTTCTTTTACCTATCGCTGGGCATTGTCGACTGCTGTCGGGGACGAAATTCGAGAACGGCCGACTCTTTCCATCTCGTAGTAAACTTCATTAACTGTACTTTTCACACCATGTTGGGACTTTTCTTGTCCCAAGTCGTTTCACGAACTGAGAACCCAATACGACGTTTCATTGAAGCTCTTGAACCGATATGCAGGACAGGGCAAACGACTGGCCGTTTCCAGCGTCCATGCCATGCCTTGCCTTGGGACTTGGTTCTCATCTCAAATTAATACGATGTGCACTGTTTTCGGATTAAAGTCGTACCCGGCCAGCGGAGAAGAGAGAATGCGTTATTCCAGAGGATCCGCTTCATCAAATGATCCAAAAAAGCATCCTTGTTGAAGGTGTCATCTCCTGCAATTGATGGAAGCGCCACTATAAGGGGGAAGAGGAGGGGGGGGGGGGGTGGGTTGGTTCGAATTCAATCCGGAAACAGTGTATGTTCGCTTACTCATCCGAACAATCTGATCTGGAGCGGTGTACGAGGTACAAATGTTGCACGGTCAGTGCAACTCGCCCTCGGAGCTGTTCCACCATGACGAAAAATTAGAGGCTTACTGTTATTTCCTTTTCTGCGTGGAACAAAGGCGGAACCTATCGTCTTTGAGAACTCCTGAGCTTCTGCCTTCTTCCCGTGACGTCACGTGACCTCTAACAGGAGAACCAATCAGCGACCATCGCAAGCAGACGACGCGTTCTGCGCAGACCAAACACAGATCACAAGCAAGGTCGCCTTCTGTTCGTCATGAGGTCGTGGTGGGCTTAATTTGAGAAAGAAATGAGGGACTGTTTCTGTCATCGCTACGTCTGCTTGGCAATGCCGCTTAATTTTGCAGGGATGAGTGGAATGCTAGTGACATGAAATTCGTTTATTGGAAAGAGAACAGCCCTAAGCTCCAGTTCTTCCGTTTTGAGATCTCGATTTAAGTATTCTATCCCTGTGAATGAGAACTGTGTATTACACTTATCTGAGTACTGGAATAAAATTAAATGATGGCACGAAAACCTTGCAAGCGTTTTGGTTTTCCAGATGTTCGAGCAAAACGGTTCCAAACGCCATTTCTCATGCTCGTCGTTTTTAGCAGTTACGGCTATTCTGCAATGATCTATGAGGGCACTGGGGCGGACCATTATTACCCCTACTTCCTTGATCATACTTCGACTTGCCCAAAACTAGCCTCAAGACCAGCTCAACCCCAAATAGACGAATACAGAAAGTCCTCGATTTACGTCGTTTCGATATAACGTCGCTAACAAATTAGGGAACAAATTTCCATATACGTTGCGTCGTTCCGATATAACGTCGTAAATCGAGGACTTCCTGCATATCATTAAGTCCATGGGAAAATAGGTTCTGACTTAGGTCGTTTCGTTTTACGTCGTGTTTTCCGGGAAAGCATCCACTACGTAAATCGAGGACTTACTGCACTGCAAGGCGAGTTAATAGTCAGTTTGTCTGTCAAGAGATTACGGCATACAACACCCCCTACCTCGAAGGGGCTGACGTTGAGCAACAGCCCGTGCTCCTCCTCGGTGGGATCCTCACTGTCCCCATCAACGATATCGAGGAGGATCTCCTCCTTCACTCTCCCGAAATGAAATGCATCGGGGTCGAAGGGCTCCTGGAGGCCCTGGAAGGCCAGAGGCTCCCGCCGTATTCGCCTTTCGCACACCAACTGCACCCGAGAATCGTTAAGCACCGAATCCACTCTCCCCTCGGAAGATGATCAAATTAACGACGAAAAACAAACTTTCGCCTAAAATGCAATGAGTTCACTGGAAAAAGGCAAACGTGACCATGCGCCCTTTTTCAATAACCATGTTCGTGCACTGCTTCGGGACACTTGCAATGGGACGGTATGACCTTGAAGTGGATCAGTAGGGTTTGCAAGCAAGGAAGAAGCAATTTTCTCCATGCTCCCTCTAAATCCATACGTTCGCCACTCGCCACATTTTACTTTGTATTTTATTGTGTGTCAGTCTTGATTGATCACCCTTCAAAAGATTGCGCATTCTTTTTTTAATAGTGCATATATTTTTTATAATGTGGCAAATACGGTGACCTGATCGCCACAAGTTTGGCGAGCATCGAAATCCTACTGGACACCAATGCTCTCGATGACGGCATGCGTCCAGCAGTCTCGTTTTGGCCACTTGCAGAGGGGAAAGGGAAAGTAGAATGACCGGTCATGCAAACCCGTGGATCACTGCAGGAAAAGGAATAATGGTGGTGTGCTTATACGGGGAAGACCGGAACTGTCATGAAACCATCTCCGAATGATTTTATTTTACTCGAGGAATGGATTTTTAAAACCCAGAGACTAATTTAGGGGCTTTTTTTAAAATGAAAAATGACAACTGAAAGAATGACTAGAAAAGTTCCGATAGAGCGAATATGGGAAAAGGGCGTACGTACATCAAGAGTTTCTGCCTCTGCTCTTTCAACTTGGGAGAATAATATTTTCGTTAAAGTCCAGAGTTTATAAGGAGCAGCCTAGAATCCTACATCACTGAAACCTGAATTCTGATTGATCGCAGACGAGCTGAGGAGGCATAGCTGCCTTTTTCGAATTGTCTTTTGCACAAAAGCCTTTATTTTTTCAATAGCACTCCTCAATTTCCTTTTTCTTCTTTTAACACTTTGAACCCTGCAGCCGTCATATGACGTCCTACGCCCATGGGGCATTCAAATCGGCAAGACTCAAAGTGTCAATCGTGGAACGCTCTCTCTATTCATCAGGAGAGTTTTGACGAAAAATACTGGGAGTCAGACCTTGGCGAGGAATCCATATTTTCCAGGAATGACTCGAAACGGAACATTTTTAAGGGAGTATCGAGAGAGGCCCTTCTCGCAAGCCACGTTCCAACTGGATTCCAAAAGGGCATCCCACCTCTCCTCCCCATTTGGCACGGGAAGGCCAAAAATGCACCTCGCAGTGCTCAGCTTAATCTGAGGTGTCATCCCTTCGACTCAAAGTATCTGTGAAGTTGAGGAAATTCTCCTAGTTATCATGATGCACATTCCCACATTATATCCAGAGGTTTCAAGTATCTCAAGATCGCAGATGAGGAATGCCAGCTGACACGGTTCGTGACAGCTTGAGACTCGAAGTGGAACGAAAAAAAAACTCCCTGGTGAGAAAAGGCAACATAATGGGATTTTTTATTTTAAAATATTACCACATATTATGATCATAGAAGACATATCTCTGCGCGTTGCATTGGGGTTTTCACGTGTCAACTTTATACAAGGAGACCAGTCGACTAAAGAGGAGAGATGGACAGCAACACCACCTTCGATTCAACTTTAATGTTGCTCTCAAAGATCCAGTCCCATTACAACAGTCAGTAGTGGAAGGAAAAGAAAGAGATGAATGGGCTTGCCATCAAGAGAAAGGGAAAGAAGGGGGGGGGGGGGGGGAAAATTTTAAAGGGAAAAAAAAAAAA